ACTCTCAGTAAGTGAGCACTGCCATGGTAAAGTATTGATCACAGTCTCTAAGACTTAGGTTTGGGAAGGTGGGACAGCCAACACCTGTCCCTGCCAGGGCCCTTTGGCTGAGCAGCAAGTGTCACTTCCTTATCCTCTGGCTTTGACTGCTGGTATCCACCAAGGTGGGAGTAGAGTTGGACCCCAGGCCAGTAGCAGTCCAGGCAGTGGGTACTGGCCACACGGTTCCTGCAGAAGGCTAGGACCCAGCCCAATCACACCTGTCATAGCTCCAGGGGCCCCTGGCATGACAAGTCAGTGGTGGATACCCCGGCATCTCCAGCAACTGCCTGACCTCAGGGGCAGGAACATACTGCAGAGTCCCCTCCCTCCCGATGTGTCACTCTTTCCCCTTAAAGCAAGTCTGTAGATAGGCCCTGACTCTGACCATACCAGCAGTGTTTGGGTGGGGACACAACTGCCCCATGCAAGGCCTATGTCCATGCAGTCCCTAATGTCTCAGGCTGCTGGGCACTGTCCGCCTGCCCACCTGGCCATCGTCCCAGACAGCCGGTTCAGGGAGGGACAGGCCTGTCATCAGGGCCAAGGACGTGCTGGCCTGGCTGATGTGGGGCCAAGTGGCTGGTTTGCTGGGATTTGGGGATTTTGAACCAGCTGCTGTAGCAGGTGTGGCTGGCCTGGCTGATCAGGGTCCGCAGGCCGCCTGGAGGGTCGCCAGCCAGCTGCTGGTGGGCTGGGTCTGCTGGCTGGCCATTTGCCGAGACAGCAAAGCCAGCAGAGGGCGAATGGAGCTGGAGGAGTAGGAGGGTTCCTGTCCCAGGCATGAAGTCCCTTGTGGCTGGTTAGGGAGATCCGCAAACACCTCTTGACCCTGTCTTGGACTGAATGCCCAGGATTTCAGCCCCAGGTAGAAAATCTGGGCTGTAAAGCAGAAGGGGCACAGATAAGAATCCCCTTCCTGGTCCTAGGAGCCAGGCCCCTGCGGCAATCCCTCTATGCCAGGCAAGAGCGGCTGTGTATTGTACGGGCGCCCCCCTGTGGCCACTACTGGTTTGTTCCCACAGATCACATGAACTGACTGAGTCCCGAGGTTTGAAGAACTGCAGAGGCCCCTCTATATAACTCAAAGACTGGGGTGGGTTGCGGAGTGGGGCTAAGGTATAGGAGGAATGTGGGAGGCTTCCAGGTCTAGAATCCTCAAGTCAGACAAGACTTTAGTGCCACAGTGGGGAAGGAGCCAACTGAGCATCAGGAGTGTCACAATGACCTTAGTTGGACCCCTGTGGGGAGCACTAGGGACAGGACATGGAAGGAGGGGCAGGTGTCACACTCCTGACTTTGGCTAGGCTGTGCCAGGCCATAGGCAGTCTGGGTCGGTGATTCTCCCAGTCCTCCAGGGTGGATCACTCCAGGGTGAAGGTCCTAGTCCACTGCAGGAACACTGAGCAAGGCTGGGGTCAGCCACAGCTGCTGGTTGGGTAGGAATTCAGGGCAGGAGGTGGCTGGACACGAAATCTCTGGGGGAGGCTGCAACTGGATAAGTGGATGCAGATCCTTCGCAGGGTCAGTGCCATCTCTTGGTGCACACCCAAGGGCACTCAGGGACCAGTCCCTAAAGAGAGGGCAGAGAGCTATTTTGATCCAGGACCCACCCCCTGCCTCATTCCTCCTCTCTTGCTCTGTCTACATCTGGGAGGATGGAGGTGGGTAGCTTCTGTGCTGCAGACGAAGGAGCAAGGCTGCCCTGGAAGCTGTTGTCAGCATGGACTGCCCTTCTGGACAGTAATGATGGCTCCATGTTGCTGAGGACATGCAGGCGCAAGCTGCATGATTTGCTGGGTGGCACAGCTGGGCACAGATAAGCTAGTTCTCCAAAGCCTCTGACCTTGAATGAGTCGAGGAAGGATCATGGTTAGAGGTGATGTGGCTCACCCAAGGAGCCTTCAACCCTGAACCTCTCAGCTTTCCCCACCTAAACTACATGCAGTGACCCTTCAACCCACCAGATGGCACCAGAAGCTGGCCAAATCCTTGCATTTATGGGGGGGGGGGTGGCGTGGGGGCAGGGAGGGGGCAGAGAGTATCTGAGCCAAGCCACTCTGCCTCTCTAGAGGACCTACAGGAGCTCAGACTTCCAGGAAGCAGGACAGGAGATTGTGAACAGCTCCCACCTGTGAACAGGATACTCTGTCCACTGGGAGTGTTTCCGAAAGTATAGAGAGGGGCTTCATTCCCTTCCTGGAAACCCAGAGCTCCTGAGCTCCTGTGGTCATCCTCCACAGTGCGCCCCACAGGCTCCCTGCTCTGCTCAGCAGGGGCCCTGCTGTGGGAGGAAGGGGACCGTAGGGCAATACCAGGCTTGATGGGATTGGGGTGGTGTGGAGACATGGCAGATACCAGGAAGAGGGCCTGGAGAAGAAAGAAGCAGAATTGCTGGGGACCTGTGTCTGGATGCCCCTACCCCATCCCTTCCGAGATTGTAATGTGTGTTGCAATTTGTGAGCCATAACTTCTCTTTAGCTGATGTCATAATTTTGTCTTTCATCCAATTTTTATAATGTCAGTGTGTCAGGGACAGAGAACTCATGTTGAGCCCAGAGTCCAGGCACTGCCCAGAAGTTCAAGAAGCCCTCACACATGTCTTCACTCATCCTTCCTACTGTTTGACTTGGAGAAAAAAGAGTTCAAGGTCCCCAGAAAGGGAGCACTATTTCCATGTGCCAAGCCCTTCTTGTCACCCCAATCTGCTTGAAGCCCCTTGGACTCACTTAGGCTGCCCAGTTGCAGGAGGGAGCACCTGGATACCATTCACCAGAGTATTTTGGGGTGCTGGGGTAGGGCTGGTTGTGCATCTCATCCAGGGGTTTTAGCAGTTCCCTATTCCACGGGAAGGAGTTTTAATCAGTAGGTCTCTATGTCTCTCAGTCTCTTTGGATTGGAGGAGGCTCACCTACCCTTTCTACAGGTGTCAGAGGGGAACCTTGGTTTTCCCTGTTTCTGTTATTGCCTTGTTCCAGAACCAATCCTGACCCCCCACCCCAAACCCAACTCACAAGAACTGGATAGACCGGATGCAGACAGATCTCAAAGAGCAGACCCCCACATCTAGTCTCAGAGTACGTCCCACTCACCCTCCGGTCAATGTCAGGCTAGTTAGCAAGGTCAGTGGATGGCTGAGCCCCAGGCATCCTTGACAAGCCAGTGAGCAACAGAATATTGACAAGACAATCACATTCTGGCTTACAGGATTAGAGTTTGAAACCACATGTGGCCGCCTGTGGGAAATCGGCCTGTGGTCACTACCCACTCTTGACACAAGAGGCTGAGGAAGTATGGTTGGGGGAGCCCTGACCCTGTTCCATGAGTGGCCACATCTCAGCCTCAGGGGTCTACTTTTGCTCTCAAGGCCTTTGGCTGATGGCTGAAGCCTACCTGCACTATGAGGATCAAGGATCATCTCCTTTGCTCAGCATCTGGTTGTAGGTATCAGGAATATCTACAGAATGCCTGGATTCACATCTGATTGAGCAGCCTGGACTAGCCTCACTGTATGGGCTGGAAACCTTACCACCATGGTAGGTAACTAATGTCACTTTTTAAATTCTCTTTTCACATCTGAGGAAAACAGATGCTCCAAGGTAACCCTCCCCAGGCCCACACCTGGCCAGGCAGAGTCCTCCACTACTCCCTGAGCCTCTGGAGCCACCCAGGCAGCCTCATCTCAGGGCATGGTCACCTGCTGGGATGTAGGGTCTAGGTGATTACTGGTCAGACCCTTGGGTCATTTGGTTGGAGCAACACCACAGGCTCAACTAGGCACAGCAAAGGCAGGAGGCCCAGCATTCACGGCAGGCATTATCCAGGGCCACGGGAAGCCCTGGGGAACTCTGCATGGGCTGTGAACTGCATATGTATCTTTGCAGTGCAGACTGCATGTACCCATCAGGTCATTGTGTCTGAGAATCAGGCTTCTTCTCAAACCCAGAAAGCAAGCTCAGGGACAGCTATCCATCTGCTGCCTGAATGTGGAGGTGCTGGCCCTTCCATGAGGACTGGTGGGCATGGCACTGGGAGTACCCCCAGAGGGTGGCTGACAGTGGGTGCAGACCAGGAGGCACAACTGACCCTAGCCTGACCTCAGGGACCTCTGGGCTTGGGCCCAGCTCCTATTTTCCCTAGGGTCATTGTCAGAGGGATGCTCTGCCTTAAATTGTCATGCTGACTTGGTTAATGGCTTGTTCTCTGATGAGGAATTATGTCTCCAAATGTCATTAGACTTTTAGATTGAAAATGAAATGAAATAAGTTGATGAATCACTAATTCTAATGTATTAAAAAAAACATAGCACTGGATTTGCATCCGGTGAGTGAAATTGACTTTTTAAAAAATTGACTTAACAGTTGATTGATGTGAACAAATCAAGCGAAATGTGCTCTTTTGATTTGCCTGGGGTGGGAAATTAGTGATTTAAAGGAGCTTTTCATGAGTCAACATCAAAATGCAAAATGTGAGAGTCTGGGGGCAGGGGACACTGGCTGTTGGGGACTGAAGGGGAAGAAAGCACTCTTTGCCCCAGGGAATACAGCCCTTCTTCCAGCTAAGTCTGTAAGGGGAGACCAGAATCACCAGAAGGTAAAGGCTTTCAGGTGGGCCCTGCCTCTCCTTGGAGCCCACCTGCTTCTGGGGATCAAGGAACAATTGTCTACCTTGGATATACGACCTACTCCACAGTCTAGGGCCTCCTCAATGGTGCACAGCATTAGCTAGGGACTTAAAATCTGGTGCTGGGCAGGAATAGTCCAGTGCAACATCCCAAAGAGAAGCCTGGATCCAGTCTCTATCTAGGGGTAAGGAAAGAAAAAGGATGAGCCCAGGGACACAGAATTCTCTTTCCCCTGTGGCCTTTTTAAACAGAGAAACATCAGGTTTCTGATGATCTCAGGGCTCCCCACAGATCTTTTTGAATGATGCATAAATGTGTGGCTGCAGCGTTGGTCAGAGGTGGAAATGGGCTGTCTGACGGGGAGTTCTAATGGACAATTTCCTGAAGCCTGAGGACGGATAAGCTTCCTTGGGTCTGGCAGTCTAGCCTCTCCAGGTCACGAAGATTCACCCATGCCCTGCCCTGGTCAGTGACTGGGAGTTTGGAGTCGTGGACACAGAATACCTTGCCAGCTCTTGCTCCTGTTCCTGCTCCTGCTTCTGCTGCTCCTGAACATGACTCCCTCCTCTCAGGGGCCATGGCCCATCCCTGATGATTCTGAGCAATGAAGCCCTAACCCTTCCAGCTGGTGAGTTGGCACCTGGGGCCTGCAGCAGTGGAGGGAACAGGTAGGGGGCTGGATGTGTTAGGGGAGGGAGCCTCAAAAGGCACATGGGCCCCACCCCAGGTGCTGATTCTCTCCACCTCCCATTCTGAAGGCTACTACACTTCAGTGGCATGAAAGAGCACTCACTGGAGCTTGTGACACAGCCAAGAGGGTCAGCCCAACTGCTCCCCCGAGCCCCGCCCTGATCCCCAGGGCCCAAACTGTTCGGTTCTTTGTGTACCAGGACATGACTTCAGACTCCCTTTGGGGGAGCTCCTGCTGAGCGGTCTGTTGGCTGAAAGCTACAGGACCACAGAGTGCTTTGCACTCCTGAGGGCACTGGGCAGGGACCCCTACAGAGCAAGCTCAGGCACCCCGCATCTTCTTGGCTCTGCCCTGAGACAGACCCTGCAGCTCTGGCTGGCCCTGTGCTAGTCTGAGCCTGGCAGGGAGCATCACCAGCTGCTGGGCAGGAGTGACCCGCTGTGCTGGCTGTGGGAGACTGGTCTCCTTTGACCTCTCCAGGGTATCTGCCTTGGCAGCAGGGCTGGGGAGTGTGCAGACCAGTATTTCTTGGCCAATTGCTGCATGCACAATCTAGGACAAAGCCCAGACAGCACCCACCCCCAGCACCTACAGGGTTGTGGGGGCAACAGTCTGGGGCAGTTGGCAGCAGGGGAGGGACATCTTGGAGGAAGGCCATTGAATTGATGCAGAGTGGACTGGAGACAGGGAGGCTGGATATGCCAAGGCATAGGATGCAGCCAGGAAAAGGCCTAGTGGTCAGAGGTGATGGGAGCAGGAGGGCAGCTGGGCTTTAGGAGAGATACAGCCATGCCTTCCTCGCCCCTACCTAGAGCCAACTTAGGGGAGCTCAGGGTGTTCCAGGTGATCTGCACCAGCCTCCGCCCTTTTGAATAATCATAGGCAGCTAGAGCTCAGTGTCCAAGCCTCCACCCAGGCAGAGAAGGAGGTCGAGGATACTGTGCCCAGCACTCACAGAGCAGCCCCCAGGGAGGAAGTGTTATGGGCCATGGTGTGAGTCACAGGTAGGGTGGGTTCCCCACTGCAGGAGCATGGTAATGCTCCATAAAGAGTCTGCCGGGCCATTGTCCTGTTGCCATGGCTTCCAGCGGCTGCTAATCCTCACCTGGACAGGATGGACCTCTGCAGTGTCCCAGGCAGGCTTCACCTTGAATGTCTCTCTGGCCGGCATGGGGCTGAGGCCAGTCAGGAGGGAGGGGTGCACCAAAGCCATATTTCTGGCCAGCAGAGTCCCCAGGAGCGCCAAGGTGACCCAAGCATCTTGTCTGATTTGGAGGCTGGGACCTAATAAGTATATAGATGAGCCTTACATGAGACCTAGGATGCCAGTGATCTTAGGAGAGTGAGACCTGAAACCGGATGGGGCTCTGAGTAAGCAGGGGGGGTCCCCATTCCAGGCAGGTAGGGAAGGTTCCAGGTGGAGACGGGGTCCGAAGAAGGGGCAGGGAGGGTCTTGGGGACTTGCGCTGAAGGCAGTGTCCTCCATCAGGCTGTTTTGTTCCTGTAGCCTGAGAGCCTGGAACCAGGCTAGCCTAGAGGAGTCTTGGTGGACCCCTGTGTTTCCCTGTGACCAAGAGTCTCAGCACAGGGTCAGTACTGGGCACCTGTTCCAGAGTACCAGGACAGAAAGAAGAGGACATGACTCCTCATGGGCCCCTATCTTGGCCTTCAGTTTCCCAACTGTGTGCCTTGGGCGGAGAGGTGTCCTGGGCCTCTATGCTGGGAAAATTCCACTTTTAGTACGGATCAGGGTCCCTAGTTCCTCTGATGGGAAACAGGTTCGGGGGTAAAGCCAGCCAGCAGTGTGGCCAGGTGGAGCCGCAAGTGTGCACAGCTGAACCTGTCTTGTTTCTGCTTGGGAAGCCTAACTTGCCCAAAAGGTGGCGAGCAGGGACACTGCTGGGCCTCATCTCCCTCTCGATGCTGAAGCTGGAGGATGGCCAGGCGGAGAAGAGGCCAGCCTGAAAGAGAGACTTTAGCCTGATTCTACTGAGAGAGTCCTGAGCAGTCCAAAGCAGAAGGGGGTCCTAATCTTGGTGTGGGCAGCACAGGTTCTGGAGCCAGGGACTGACCCTACCCTGTCCCTGCTGCTCCAGTTTCCACAGTGGGCACACCATGGACATCAAGATGCAGCCAGGCTGCCAGGTATGATGGTATAACCTGTAATGCCAGCACTCGGGAAGCTGAGGCAGGAGGATCACTGCAAGTTTAAAGCCAGCCTGTGCTACATAGTGAGTTCAAGGCCAGTTTGAACTATAAAAGAGACCTTGTCTCAAAACAACAAACAAACATCAGCCAGGCTGGATATACATGGGAATCCTCCTGAGGCTACTAAATGTCCCCTGCTGGTGGCATTGCTGCCCTCTCACCTCTAAACATGGCCATACCAGGCAGCTGGAGGTGGAATTTTTCCCTCTGATTGAGAGGCTCAGGAGAAACTAGCTGGTGGGAGGAGGACTGCATTGGTTTCAGTCCCACACTATAGTGAGGGGACCCTCCTGGGGGCCTGGCCAGGGCCATCACATACCCTGTGGTTTACCTGTGCAGGCATGGCTTCTCTCTGCCCCAGGACCTTTGCACCTCGTGACTCTCTGCCTGCCTCTTCTCTATCTGACCACCCCTCAGTAGGCTAAGTGCCCTCCTTAGAGAGGTTGCCCAAGGACTCTCATATGCTTTGTTACTCTTGTTACCTTGCTTCTCTCTACATTAGTCACAATCTAATACTTCCCACATTTAATAAGATTTCTTTTCCCCAGAACTCTGGGCAGCTGAGATAGAACCACAAGTTTGAACCCAGTTTCAGCAACTTCGGAAGCTGTCTCAAAAAAATGTTTTAAATTAAATTAAATGAATTTTAAAAGAGTTGGGCATATAGCTCAGTAAGAGGCCCTGAGTTGATTTTGAAGAGCTTTTTAATTTGGGGCATTGTTTTGCTTTGTTTGCTTGCCGCCTCTTTTTGCCACACTCTGAGCTGTGGAACAGGTATCCTTTTGTCCATAGGTATGTTTGTCCCACTGGGTGCAGGCAGAGCATCCAAGTGCTCAGAAATGGTATCTCTTTTCTCAGTATACAGAGGGGTTCATCCAAATCTGCTAGGAGTACAGCTGTGTGATCAGGCAGGCCCCTTCTCAGCCAGCAGATCAGGTGAGACACAGCAAGACTTAGCTGGCCTGCTCACTGCTCACAGCCACCCAAGGGCCCCAGTGGCCTTCTCTGTCATCTCGACAGAACATCTGGACCCCAGCAGGAGATGCGCTGCTTGGACAGAGGTCCTGGGAGGCTGGGACACAGCCTACCTGCCCCATTCTCCCCTGCTGGCATCAGGGAGGAGGACATCTGCCTCTGGGAGTGACCGTGCCTCAGTCAGAGCTGTGGGCCCAGGAGGCACCTCAGCCTACAGAGAGGTGGGCAGTGCACCCTACAGGCCAGTTTTCCACTTTCCAACTCCATTTTCTTCAGGCTGGGCAGGACAGGGAAGGTAACCCTGAGATGGAATCTGTGCAGCTCCCCCTGGGGAACTAGCAGTCACCATGGAGATGGCCTGGGTGGGGAAGGGAGGCTAAGGATGGGTCCTGTGAGCACCAGGGACAGTGTGTGCCTCCCTGGATTGAGGCCTCTTGTTTCTCTAAGCACATGTTTTCCATTACAAAGACACCGTATGGTCCTCATAGAAAGCACAGAAGCTCAGAAAACCATAAAGAAGAAAAGACAATCCAAGTACCCCAGTTTCCTGAGGGAACCACAGAGCCTGTGTCTTCCATGCCCCTTGAACTAATGGCCAGCAGCTTCTTCACACCATTACAAGGATCCTTGGGTCTCAGGGGTCCCACCATCAACTGGGAATCTTCATCTCCTTCAGCCATTGGCTGGGTTACAGGAGTTAAGGCAGGGTGAGGCTACATCCTGAGGCTGCATCCTGGTTGGGGAAATACCTGACACGCTCCCGCCTGTCTGTGCCAAGCTGGATGAATGAGGCCCTCAATTTTTCTTTTTAACATCTGTGGTTTACCTGGGATCCTGTGCAAAGTGCCGGTTCTCAGGCAGCCCCACTTGCTAAGAGAGGCAGAAAAAAACCCTGCCTTAGACTTGGGCTCAGCCAGTGCCTAAGTTCTGTACTCCCCAAATCACCAAACCAACTGGAGCCAATTCTGACATTCCACCCTCGGTCCTCTGGCCGCTCCCCACTGGATCTCAGCCACTGTAGGTCCCAGCACTTCTCCTCTGATTGGGGATCTCTCACTTCTCAGCCTCTTGGGAGGGCCCAGTGAAGCCTCATTGGCCTTCTGCTGGGGTCTGCAGCCCAGAATGGAAGGCAAGAGAACCGGGTGAGGGCACAGACCGTCATAGGAGTCACTGCCAGTGGTTTAGGATGGGTGGGCTGGTGCTCAAAGAACCGGCAAGGACCAACTGATGAGGCTTGGGCTCTTGGAGAGCTGGGCAAGGGCAGTGGTTCCCGCCTTGTCCACCCACCCCCTACAGTTTTCGACCCGCCCTCAGCACGTGACCTGCTCAGATTACCACCCTCTCTGCGCACTAGCCTCTCCGGCCCTGCCCCCAGGCACACACTCAACCCTGACCCCGAATGCTGACTCCTCACTCTTAGACCCTAAAGACCCCCTACCCGGGGTCTGCTCCTCCAACCCCATCTGGCCTATTAACTCGACCCCCGCCCCAGCCCCAGGCCTTTGCCCCGCCCCGGGTGATGGTCAAGCCCCGCCCCGGCGCCCAGCGCCCAGCGCCAGCAAGCACAGCGCCGGCTCAGGGCTCTAAGCCAGGGGGCGCCGCTGACCAGGTGAGTGCTATTCTTCCCCTGGAGCCTGTCGCGCGCGGCGCTCCTGCCCTGCCCGTTTGGGACTCGCACAGCCTCTGACACCCCTCTGGGGGCTTGGCGCTCTGCTATAGCCCGCGAAGCCGGCCGGCGTTCCACTGCACCTCCTGCCTTTGGCGCGACCAGTCCCTCACACGCCTTCGGGTCCCCGCGGGGCTCACTTGCCGCTGTCCAGTGCCCCCTCGCGTCAGTTCCCAGTCTCAGCAGCTGCACTCCTCGACCCCTCTGATCCTAGTCCGCAGGTCTCTGGGACCCAGAGGCCGCCCGGTGGGTCGGCTAGCTGCCTCCAGGGATTCCAATGAGCCTCGGCCCACCTCTCCTAGGCGGGTAGGCTCTTGGGGTCTTGGAGTGGGTCCCCTGGGATGAGGAAATGAGCATGGAGTTGCAGGACCACTAGGAACAGCGGAGGGAGGGCGCCCCTAGTCGCATGCAGAACACCCCTGCTCTCTGGGCACGGCCCACTCACAGCTCCGCATTTGTGCCCTGGATCCCGCCTGACCCCTCGAATATCCGCCCCTTCCCAGAACCCTACCAGTTTGGGACCTGCCGGCTGCCGGCTGTCCTCTCCCCGGGACAGGGAGAGGAGGCCAGGAGCCTGAAGTTGGACCTTTGAAGATATGTGAGCAAAAGAGATAGGGTGGGGTGAGACCCAGAGCCTCCCAGCACAGGGGGTGAGAGCAGCAGTGACCATCTACCTGCAAGGGGTTCCTGGTAAAGCTGATATTTCCAAATCAGCGTGTTGGGGTAGAAGGTGGCTTTGCAGACCTGCTGAGCCCCAGGGGGGCTGTGCAGCTTTGGCCTCTCTGCTGCTGCCCCAGACTAGCCCACACCCACCTCATTTACCTATCATGGGGAGATTCTGCCCCCACCCAGGTTGCCTTGCGGACAGTAGAGTAGGGGAGCAGGAGTGGGGCTGCCCTTACTCCACGCTCAACAGAGGCGAAAGCAGAGCTTGGAAAGCTCACCCTCAGCAGCTGAGCACCATGTTTGCTCCACCCAGCACAGGAGGAGCACTGCATGTCCACACCCTTCAGGTGTGATGGGCCCAGGGGTGCTCTGAGCACCTTACCTGGGACTGGTCTGGCCCAGGAGGAGTGTCAAGATGCAGACCTGACCTCTGGCCACTAGGCATGGGGGACTGTGGTGCTGAGGCCTACTTCTGTTCCCAGGCCCCTAGGAAGTCACACACACACACACACACACACACACACACACACACCCCTTCTCCCCAGGAGCCCAGCCAGATCCCTTTCCTGATGCTGGTAAGGAGATGTGGACTGTTTGGGACAGTTTGTGAGAGCTGTTATTGAGCTCCAGGCATTCTGCATCGCATCTTGCATGCTTTGACACCTTTCATCACTTCAGCAACTTCACAGTTAGTAGGACTTTCTGACACCTGAATCCAGGGCTCAGGAAGCTTGGTAGCTTCTCAGAGATCACAGGCTACTGTGGGCAGGAAGCCTGAGTGGGAGTGGGCTTGCTTCAGTGCCCTAACAGAAGGCTAGCAAGCAAGTCCTTTTCTGGGGATGAAAGGACCCACCTTCAGCTCTTTTCTCACTGAATTCTCCCCCACTATTGAAAGGTCCCCAGGGCAATTTTCTCATGAGTATGTAATTTTAGAAACTAAAAGATTGCTGCTTCTAAATAATGGCTCTTACAGAATTATAAGAGGCAGGCAGAGCACTGCGTCTATTTTGTTCTTTCCTGCTCTGAAGCGTACCTGGGGGGGGTAGTGTTTATAGGGACAGTAGGAGCAGCAACCAGGCAGTCTTCGAGCCCCTCCCAGCCCCTCTCTGGGTCTGGATGCCTTGGAGGAGCCCCAAGCAGCTGAGAGCTCCATAAAAGATGAGGAGCTTGTTTGACTTAAGATCAAATATGCATTCAAGAGCTATTGCTTAGAAAGCTCAGGGCTTGTGCTAGCCAGGACCTGAACCCCACTGGTCCTCTGCCCTCTTGGAGACAGATATCCCACCTGTAGGAGCTGCTCTATTGTCTCTACCCAGTCCCCACTCAGTCCCACAGGGCTTTCACCAGGGGTCCCTCCTTGGTATTTTGGGAAGGGGTGACCCACAGGCCTCTGCAAATGGCTTGTGCCTCCTGGTCTCCTAGATTCTTACGTGCCCCCACATTCCCAGACCACACCTCTGCTAGAATCCACGCTATAGAGATTTCCCTCAGAAGTAGGCTTTTCCTGCTTCCCTCTGGGGCCAGGTTCTACTGCCAAGGCTCCTTGGAAAGACCTGCTTCTGGCCAGACACAGACGTAGGCTGAAACCATGGTGATCACAGGCCCTGGCCAACGTGTTCACTTCCCCAACCCAGATCAAAGGTCCACCAGAAGGACTCCTGGGCAGGGTTACAAAATGCAGTCATCCCAACCCGGTACTTAACCTTTTTATTAAATAGGATCTGGTCACCCACTTCACAAAGGATTGTAGCACACCAGCCAGCGCACTTGACACTCTGGGGAACAAGTCCAGCAAATCAAAAAGAGTGCTTCCCTTCCCTCAGAGTAAGACTTCAAGGTGACACGTGTCTCTCAGGCTGGCACCAGGGCTTCCCCCGCTCCTGCCACTCCTCTGTCATTCCTGTTCAGGCTTCCATCTTGTCCCTGACTGGTGTCATCAGGATTTTCCCTTTTCCTGGGGCCTGGCAGCTCAGTGGTAATGCAACTTTATCATGACTGTATTCTGCTTGGGATTGGACTCAGTTGTGCTATAGGAGCCCGCATCCTCTCTGAGGGGTACGTCTTGCCCCTGCACTCGTTGTCCCTGCTTCTCTGTCCATGTGCTGCATTCCCCTCTTGTGATCACTGTCTTTTAGTTCTCTTCAGCACTCTCCAGACTGGAGTCAGTCTTGACTTCTGTGGGCTTAGGTTTTGTTTTTTGTTGTTAATTTGTCTCAATGGCTGTATTATTTTGTGTGCCCCAAATCTGTGAGCTTTAGAAACAGAGACCTGTTCACTTTGCTCTTAAAATGCCATAATATTCATAATGTTTCATACTTACTTGTGAATCCTGAACATATCAGTTGAATCATGGTATCTCTTCTGGGCTTTACCAGCCCATTTTTCCCTGTCTTCCAGATCTTAGCTGCTTCTGCTCAGCCCCCTGGTATCTCTAGAATGAGGTCCTGTCCTGGAATCCATGGATGTCCGTTGTCTGTGTTGGTCACCGTGGGTCAATAAACAGGTCCAAGGCTCTGGGGTAGCACAGTATAGTGGCCTTGGCTCAGACCAGGAGACTCCTGTCTCTGCATGGACCTGTTCATTTTCTGGGTCCTTCATGTGCTTGGATTCCTTGCTGATTGCCCCAGCACCATTTAGCAAGGTACTAGTGCCCTCTTCCTCATCAGGGAAGGGGTTATTTACTTTTTATTGTATTTAATGAAAACTTTCAAACACATAGGGTAACTTAAGATACTGTAATAAGAGAGTGTGTACCTGTCACCTGTCCAACAGATACTAACATCCTCTATACCTACCTCAGTGCCTGTCTGCAATGACCCCTATGCCAGCCCCATTGCCTTTGTGTTAGGCTGTTGAGTGTGGTGCCCCTAGGTTGTACCTCAATGCTGTGCATTTTCTTGGTTGTCACTATTCTGTGCATCTGTGTCAATTTGTTCATGGCTACTGTGCTATATGAGGATAGTCGACATGTACCTTGCTCCTTGTGTTGCTGCTTGGAGCTAAAGAAATCTATCACACTGGGGAGGGGATGGATCTCACCCTACGCAGGCCAGCATCTGAGGAGCTGCCCCCATATGTGTCCCTCAAGGCTGTGATAGCAATACCCATCAGGTCACTCCTCAAGTCAGTACAGCACGCTGACATGGACCTCTGGGTTCACCACTGGCTGAACCTCTGGGATGATCACTGATGCATTCTCAGAATGGCTCTGCTTGGGAGCAGACATACTCATAGGGGATGGCGTTCCCTGAGTTCTGCCAGGTGGTGGTAGAACCTCCTGAAGAAGGAAGGCCAGTGCCCCAATGGAGTCCAGTGTGGCTTCCCAAGAGAGCAGGCTGGAGATCAGTGCATGTCCCACTGGGATCCAGTGGCTATAAGAGCTCTCTGCACCTGTTTCTGCACAAGCCACATACATGTGCTCTGGAGCACAGGGAACTAGAACCTTCTAGGTAGAAATTACCCTCCTACAGTGCTGTGGTAGGGGAGTGACGGAGTTCAGGTCGTAGGGCAGCCACAGAGGTATCATCAGCAGACGCTGGTCTTAGTTCACCAGCTGGCTTCCCTGCTGTCCCCACGATGGCTGCTCCTTCCTCTCTGGGCTTGTTTTCCAAACAATTTGCTTAATGTGATTCCCGGCTGAGCTGAACATGACTAATCGTGTTTACCTACCGCCATTGGGGCAGGCGGGGCTGGGGATGGGCCAGGAGGAAGGAATGCTGGATATGCCCAACTCACTGGTTCTTCCTTCTCCTGTAGAGACGAACACATGCAGGTGGCCTCCATGGAGCCTTTGTACCCGGCCTTTACACCTAGCTGGAACACCTCGGCTGCCAGCCCTGGAGACAACCACAATGGGACACCGGTAGGGGCAGCACCATCAGCAGGGGCCCGGGCAATATTGGTGCCCTTGCTGTACCTGCTAGTGTGCACTGTGGGGCTGGGCGGCAACGGGCTGGTCATCTATGTGGTGCTGCGACACGCTAAGATGAAGACGGTCACTAACGTATATATCCTCAACCTGGCAGTGGCTGATGTGCTACTTATGCTGGGCCTGCCCTTCCTAGCTACACAGAACGCTGTGTCCTATTGGCCCTTTGGCCCCTTCCTGTGTCGTCTGGTCATGACGCTGGATGGTATCAACCAGTTCACTAGCATCTTCTGCTTGACCATCATGAGCATTGACCGCTACCTGGCTGTAGTCCATCCACTCCGCTCTGCCCGTTGGCGCCGCCCACGAGTGGCCAAGCTGGCCAGTGCTGCTGTCTGGTCCTTCTCGCTGCTCATGTCCCTGCCACTGCTGGTCTTCTCCAACGTGCAGGAGGGTTGGGGGACCTGCAACCTCAGCTGGCCAGAGCCTGCGGAACTATGGAGTGCTGCCTTCATCACCTACACATCTGTGTTGGGTTTCTTCGGGCCGCTGCTGGTCATCTGCCTCTGTTACCTGCTCATTGTGGTGAAGGTGAAGGCTGCAGGTGTGCGTGCTGGATCCTCAAGGGCGCGGCGATCTGAGCGCAGGGTGACCCGCATGGTGGTAGTCGTGGTGCTGGTCTTTGTGGGCTGCTGGTTGCCCTTCTTCATTGTCAACATTGTCAACCTGGCCTTTACACTGCCTGAGGAGCCCGCCTCCGCCGGCCTCTACTTCTTTGTAGTGGTCCTGTCCTATGCCAACAGCTGCGCTAACCCACTACTCTATGGCTTCCTCTCTGACAACTTCCGCCAGAGCTTCCGGAAGGTTCTGTGTGTCCGTGGGAGCTATGGTATGGAGGATGCTGATGCCATGGAGCCACGGCCAGACAAGAGTGGGCGGCTACAGGAGATCACGCTGCCTCCCACCCGCAACTGCCAGACAAATGGGCACATGCAGACCAGCCGGCTATGAGAGCCACCTGCGTCTTTCAGGGACTACCTAATGCCATCTGCCTGTGAGGGACTGTGCTGAGGTATCCATTCCTGGGCTGCAACTCAGATACTCCTTGGCAGTGGCATAAAGAAAGGAGCTGCTGGGGCAGAGCCGTGGGTGGACACAGAGCAATCAGCATCCTGCAGTGATCATGTCACTCCACCAGCCCTTTTTCCTATGTGGGTCAATTCTGGAACCTTGAGGGACTCAGCTTTGTCCCCAGAAATGTCTGGCATCGCCAGCCCTGCCTTAGCCTATCCTGTCTCAATGTCCACGCCACAGGAGCCAGTCGCAGCATTCTTCTTGACTAGAATGAGGTGGTAACCACCCACCCAGAGGCCTTGCTGCATGTGCCCTTCATCATAGGAGCTCTGTGTCACCCAGTCAGCACCTGAGTGCTACTCTGTAGAATTAAAGCCACCTGAATGCACTCAGCTCTAGCCTCCATTCACTGGAGCTCCCAGGGTCCAGGCAACAGAGGGCAGCAAGTGCAATGCTAGGCTGACTCTGGAGAGCTTAGGGTCCCCTGGGGTCCTAGAGGGAACACTGTCTTCAGGGCGCTACCCTTCTGTCAACTTGGATGGGGAAGACACAGGGATGGGCACCCTGGGATGAGCTCTGTCCAGCTGGCAGCATCTGATAGAAGTTCTTGAGGTTTGGAGGATGTGAGGACATGTAGAGGACCCTACAGGTCCCATTGGGTTGATCAGGATCTCTGGCCAGAAGAAGGAGCAGGACAGACGGATGGGGTTTGGGAGAAACCTGCCTCCCAGCGCAGATGGTATAGCCTGGGAAGATGGTGCTGTGTGGATGGACGCAAATGCCAAGTACTGGGCCCTGAGGATCTGCCCCCAGTATTAGGCTTACTCCCTAGCCCAGGATTCTGCTACCAAGGCCAGGAGTGGAGCCCTGAGAATTCTTGTGTGTTGACCTTGCTAGGGCCCCCAGGATATCTTGACTTCTCTCTGGAAGAAGTCAGCTGCATAGTCATCTTGCTCAGGACAGCTCTGCTTGATGCTGCCTAGGCCTCTCAAGAAGATGCAGGGGCCAGGTGTAGCAGGATAGGACAGGGTAAAGCCAGATCAGGGCTGCTGGGTCTCTGATGTGATACTCAGACGGCTGATCCTGGAACATGTTCTGCGTACCAAAGGCGCTTGTGTTTGACAAACTGCTCCCTGAATAAATTAGAGAATAAATGTTTGATTCTTTCCCAAAGCAAATATTGTCCCTGTAACTGAGCAAAGTCGGCATAAACTAGAACACTTTATAGATATAAGACTTCCCTTGCCCCGGCAAGCCAAATCCTGACAAGGTAGGGTAGGGGTAGCCAGACCCAGGTACAAGTAGGGAGGAGGGCAGCTAAACAGTGAGGCAGGTGGTTAAACAGGATTCACTGAAAGGTGGGTGCTGTCAGGGCTCCGGCCAGAGTCTGTGCCGAAGTCACCAGTAGTTGGTGACAAAACCCACTCCGATACACTGGGGCTGGTGTCCCATGGAGGACAAGTGTTCCCATGGAGAAACCAAGGCTTGTCATCTCCTAATCACCCTCAAGCCCTCTGGGGTTTGGATGCAAAGTGCATATGCTCTGAATGCATTAGGAGGGCAAGCAGATGGCTTAGACATTTCTGCTCAGATCACCTTCTGCAGACTGATTTGACTTTAAGCCCTCCTTCCTCATGGTTGGCCAGCCTGAGACCATGGCATTTGCCTGTCCATATGTGTCATCTGTGGAGGGAATGGAATGGGATTGAGACCAGCCTCATAGTGACCTGGCAATAGCTGGAATATACTTCTCAGTGGATCCTGGTTCTTCTGGGAGTTCCCTGCACCCTACGAACCCTGCTTCTCGCCTGGTCAACCAGAAGCCCTGTGGGCCCTGTGGTTTCAGCCAGACCCAGGGACTTATTTCCTTTTGTCTCACAAACCAACCTTGAACCTCCCACAGGGCCAGTCTGGTCCCCAGGCTACATGCAGTTCATTTGCTGGCCTCTGCTTGTGACCTTACCCTGGTCAAGTGCAACTGCTCTCCTCATTCGTCCTCTGTGGTTTTGCCTTACTGGGCAACAGGGGTCAGTAAGCTCCCATCGGGAGCTGGATCACCTCTTACTACCTGCAGCCCCTGGGCCTGGTAGACCCCTGGGATGTGTGTCCTCCTGGAACAGCAACGGTATTCACCTACTGTACCCAACAGTAAAGCTCTGGCCAAGGAGTACAGCATGCAAACTCTTCACTGGTTGTGTGTGTGTGTGTGTGTGTGTGTGTGTGTGTGTGTGTGTGTTGGGTTGGGTTGGGTTGGAAACAGAGGGGAATAGCTACTGTCTCAGAGTCTTTGCAGGTTGGGGTAGGAGAGGCTGGATGCAGGAAGTTCTGTCTGGGACAGGCAGGCAGCATAGCCCTGGTAGGGTGTGGAGGACCAAAGGAGCTGAAGAGGCAGGATCATTGTCCCTGGTGTGATGGGAGGATGCAGCTCAGGCTGGCTTCTGCCTGTAGCATATGGGAGGGTAAGACCCCGGTCTGGTAGTGCAGGAGGCTGAGGAGCCTGTGGGATATTCTTGGAGGTTCTATGTACCCTGCCAGTCCTGAGACTGGGTGTGGCCAGTGTGGGTAGCTAGGGGACACATGATAGGACACACACAAGGACCTGGGCACCCCATGGGCACCTGTATTAAAAGCTAACAGGTATGTCCAGGAGGAAAATGGACTCTGAAAAGCCATGGGGGATCCTAGGGTGAACTCACACGAACTCACACCTGTCACAGGCCTCAGGGTCCCCACAGCTACCACCACTGGAACTAAGAGGCTGTTGGGGATGAGGCATGAAGGCACTTACAGGGACCATAAGGCAGCCACTGTGTACAGGTGCGGGGGGACGGGGGGACAGAGCAAACACCTAGGGCCCAAGAAGTGACCCGCTTTATGGGCTCTCTGTCTGCATCGATGGGTTTTATTGGCCTCTGGGCTCCAGTAACTCCCAGGGTGACCTTGCTCAGGAAATCCGGCCTATGGGGACAGGGATGGGAGACAGGAGGTATCTGTTTGCCCGGCAGGGTGGAGTGCAGGTTGAGAAGGGAGGGTGATGGCAAAGCAGCCCCCACAGGTGTGTATGCACGGAGGTGTTCTCCCCATACCTGTATTAGGGGCACCTGATGGGGCTTATTGTGGGGCCAAGCAATACTTCACTGGAGCCACAGGGGCAGTAGCTTTTCCCAGTAGCAATATAGATGTCCCCGGCAGGTTTCTAAAGAAGGGCTTCTCTCCTTGAGGTGTTCTGAGGAAGAAGGAGGGCAAGTGGGGTGCTAGTGGGCACCAGGCAAAGACGATGGAGTGCTGATGGAGACATCACTGCCTCTCACCAGATGGGCCCCCAAGAATGGGAGTCAGGGGAGAGTGTGGGTTCCCAGGGCACTGGGTTGGGGCTCTCTTCACTCCTGTGTCCTTACCTCCCATGTTTTTTGAGCTCTGGACCCTGTCATGGGAACAGGTGCCACTCAACTAAGCAGTCTGAGGAGGATCTAATAAAAGGTCACCTGGTGCTCTGGGCCAGTGCCCTGGGATGATAGAGGGACAGGATTACCAGAATACAGAGATGGAGGGGTGGCAGGGGCCACGTGAGGTAATACAGACCTCTAGACAAGGAAAATGACTAGCACTCCCCTTCCCTTCCCCTGCTGGGTTCCCCAAACCTAGACCCACCTGGAAGCTGTCATTGGGGCCCATCAAGATAAGCCATCAGCCCAGGATGGAGGAAGACAGAGATGGGAGTACAAGACAGACATTCCAGCTCCTCCGAGTCCTTGTTCTGATGCTCATCTAGCCTGACTGGGTGGACAGGAAAGGGGTGACCAGGACCTGCCCTTGTACCAGTCTAGAATCTGCCACTTAAACACTCCTCAGCCTGCCTGACTGGTTGCTGACCCCACCATGGGCCTCTGAGCTTTAGGAAGGAGCCCCAACCATGCCTGAACCTTTAGAAATTCACACTTACTCCTTACTTCTAACTCAGCCTTGAGGATCATGACACAGGTGCCTGAGCGAGATAGCGCCCCCCGCTCCCCGTTTGAGAGGGTTTGCAGTGCCTCTCCTGCACATCTGGCTGTGACTTCCATTCTCCTCACACAGCAACTACTATGTCACTTTCTGACTATGGGGCTGACAAGAGATTTTTTGTTTGTTTAAGACATGGTCTCGATATGCAGTTCAGACTGGCCTTGAATTCACTGTATAACCAAGGCTGACCTTGAACTCACAGTGATCCTTCTGCCTCAGCCTTCCAAATACAGGGATCATAGGCGTGCACCATGATGTCCACCTCTATAAGATATCTTGTAGGAGTTGGAACTACAGTATTTGTCCTTTTGTGATGGTTCTATTTCACTTATAATGTCCTCAAGATTCATCCCTGTTGTAGCAGGTATCAGAATTTCCTGAATAATACTTCATTGTAGCCAGGCATGGTGGTACATGCCTGTAATCCCATTTACTCAGGGGACTGAAGCAGGAAGACCACAAGTTTGAGCCAGGTCTAGGCAACATAATGAGATCCTGTTTCAAAATTTAAAAAAATTTTTAAATGACAAGGAATATAGCTTAGTGATTGAGCACCTGCCTAGCATGCTGGAAGCCCTAGGTTCTATTCCCATACCACATAAAGAAATTCCTTTGTGTCTGGGTAGTACTGTTATCATCAATGGAGGTTGTGTCCACTGCCTCAGCCTATTTGTGCACTATAACAATTTATAAAGAATGAAATTTTTAAAGAATGGAAATTTATTGCTTTAGAATTCTCTTGCCTATCCATTCTTCCAGGATCTTTAACGTTTTACAAAGTTAAAAAAATGGACCTTTTCTACACACATGTTCAAATAGCATTATTCACAAAATCCAGATGTTTATCAACAGGTGATGAATAAAGTGTGCTCTGTCCATACCATGGAATACTGCTCAGCTATGAAAGGGAAAAAGCTCCAACAATGTGGAGCTCTGTACAATGCAGATGACTCTCAAAAAGCATGATGTTCAGATAGAAGCCAGACACCGAAAGACAGGCTCCATGTGACCTCCACTGACAGGAGATGGTCCAGGATATGCAGACCAGCAGGGACAGGCTTGATGTGACCTCCACTGACAGGAGATGGTCCAGGATATGCAGACCAGCAGGGACAGGGTAGGTTGCCAGATGGGCAGACTCCCGTGGGGCTGAAAACACTCTAGTAAGACAGAAGGGATAGCGACCACTCCATTCAGGTTGTGAATGTACTAAAGGCTGCTCAGCTCTTTATCCTGAAAAAGTAAATGAATTAAATCATGACTTTATCTTGTACCTCTCCAATTCTCAATCTTTTAAAAAAATAAATAATAAATAAACGACAGGGTGGGAGTTGGTAGGATGCAACCCTGCCATCTCAGCCTGGGTCCTTACATGCCTCATTCAGGGAATGAGGCATCCCCCATCCTGGACCTTTGAGAACTGGGGTCACCCATGGCAACTGAACTTATTAGTCACCCCTGCCTCCTAAGAGACTAAAGCCTCCTCCCCTGTCCTCCCCATGCTGCAGCCATTTTAACATCACCCATGCTGGTGTCCATGGACAATGGTGACAGCCCTGGTCCTCCAAAAAGGCAGTATAGCAGTAGGGATAGATGTGGTCCCTTGTCCTCTTGGCTCTGCCTCCCCAACCTGGCCATAGGTATGTCTGGGTCTAAGGACTAAGGATGCTCCCTATAGTGTCAGCACATAAGTGAGGAAAGCTGCAGGTCCCACGGAGGCCAGTCCAGGGCTGGGGAAAGAAGGTGCTACTTGGAATTTCTGGGAGCCCCTGCCTGTGACCTGATGCAGGCAGCACCCTGTGAGTACAGACATCCTGCCTGCTCTGAGATGCCAGGTCTCACATTTCCCTCTCACAGACTCCATCACAGGGCGCTTCTTGCAGATGGAACCTGCACTGCTTCTGCCCTTCTGCTTGACCCTAGACCCTGGTGAAGCTGTGGGGCACAGCTGCTTTCATGCTGGGAGAAAGCAGAGTGGCCACTGTGCTAGACTGGGCTACAGCCTCCTCTGGGGTCTGGGGAAAGATTAACCCTTGACCCTGCACTCCTGGGCCTCAGCCCAATAGTTCTGGGGCCAGATAGAAACTCTCTGCCTCACACTGCTAATCAGGAAAACTGAAGCCATATGGAAAGCTGAACATTACTATCTGTGTCTGGAGCTTGCTGGTTTGTGGCTATGGCCCGACTCTTTTTATGTGGGCTTTGCAATCCTTGGCACCTGAGAAAGAGGCCAAATTACCACTGTGTCCAGCCTAGGGGCCCATCTGGCTTCTGCGAGCGCCAGCCATGCAACCAAGTGCTTCAGAGGGGTCAGGGTAAAGTACCTGAGGATGCCCAATCAGGATCAAGCTGGCCTCTCTCCTGGCTCCTCCTGCCCAGGCTAGCCATCCGCTTTGAGGAGAAGGGAAGACCTGAACAGGGGAGGCCCAAGGAAAGCTTAGAATCCTCCCGACCTCCAGGGCTTCTCCTTCTTACTGAACACCTTTATCTCTCCAAGGAACCCTCTACTGCCAGATCTCCATTAGTGGTTGCTGAATGTCTATACATAAGAGGATGCAGGCCAAAAGACAACCTCGGTGTCAGTGGGGTTGGATTCTGCAATGGAGATGGTCAGGGGTGACTTTGTCTGGGCCCCTTCCCCACTCACTGTGGCCTCCTGACCCTCTTCATCTGTGACTGTCCCCAATAGGACAGGTCACATTTCTGTGTAGCTCCCATTAAATTCCATGGCACTCAAACACTGCTGGCTTGGCTGCTTCCAGGTGAGCATGTGTAGGCTCAGGAAGTAAACGCTGCACAGTGTAGCCGAAGTAACCGAGCACAAGATGGAAGAAACCCTCCAGGCCCACTTGTAAGTGGCAAGGTTGGAAGCTGTCAGCATGCTATAGCCCCAAGTACTGGCCCACTGAGAAGGCCAGGTAGGTACATGGGCCCAGGGTACCAGGAGCTTGCAAACCCTCCTTCCTGGTCTGTCCTGAGTGGCCTCTGGCCCTGCCCTCATCCTTCTCATCTGCAAGGAGGAAATGGAAGCCAGTCAGGGTGATCCCAGCCTCTAGGGGCATAATGACTACAGCCCTACTTGTCTCCAGACTCAGTTTCCTTATCTGTAGGGTGGGCACTAAGCCACTCTCCAAGGGTACAGTCATTCTGAGGCCTGTGACAAAGATGGTTACTGTAGGAAGTATGGAGACCTGGGAAGATCAAGGTGAGGTCTGACCTGGGCTTTGCAGAACAAGAGCCTCAGGACAATTTAGCTTCTATCCAGCAGACCAAGGGAACCTCTCACCTGACCATAATGGCTGTTGTTCTAGGGATCTCAGGGACCCTAGCCCCTCCCTCTCCAGGGTCGCCAGCACGCAGCTTGTTCACAGTCAACCCTACCCCCTGTCAGCATGCTTCCTATCTGAAGGGCTGGGGCAAGACACAGGTGGGGCCTCCAGAAACACTCATTTTGAGGTTGGAGTTGTTGATGGTGGACAGTAGTTCAGGCACCCCCAACCCGCAGGTCCCCAGGAGTACCAGCTAGATCCTGCTGCAGGGGTCACAGTGGGTGGCAGCAGTGCACACAGGGCCTTGCAGACAGCCTGGCCCTGCAGGCAGTACTGGTATCAGGAAAGTGAGACTGTCACTGTAGTGGGGTCTGGGGTACAGGGAGAGCTCTGAGAAAGAGATGTTGCCAGAGCCCCCCAGACCCTCAGTAGCTCAGCTGTGCCCCTTGCTTGGAAACAGTGGATAGAGCCAACCTAAGGGATAGATGATCAGAGTTCCACGAGGGTAGTGGGAGAGGGAGGGAGGACACGTGAGGCCTCCAGGGCCACTTGCATGGGCCTTTGTACTCTACTGAAGCTCGTGTCCTGACAGGCCAGAGGCAGGGAGCATGGGGAACCAGCTCTGGGAGACAGTGGACAAAGGCTCCCAGGATACCCTCCAAACCTAGGTGCTGTCCCTGAAGAGGGCTTTAAGGTGCTTCAGGGTGGGACTGATCCCCACAAAGTTGACTTAGAGTTGGTGGAGTGTAACCCTATCTTGACAGGTTGCCCTCTTCCTAAGCCACCACAAAAGGCCCTTAGGGGCATATTGGAGGCTGCCTTGTGGCCCCCACCGTAGGGTTGGGAAGTGGTTCTTAGTTCCTCTGTTCCACCAGATCTGAGCCTGCGCCTGCCAGCAGCTTAAGCCAGTCAGTTCCACATGTACAAGCCAAGCTTCCTCCTGGCTTCCCCTCAGTAAAGCCTGGGACTCAGTTTCCTTTATGGAAAGCGGTCCTTATCTGGTTCCCACAGGCTACGCTTAGAGGCTGCCTGAGGTTCACCTAGGATTAAGTTATCATGTAGGGTACAGGTCCTGGAATTTCTCTGCACTCAGCTCTGCAGGGCAAAGACCTATACCTCCTCCTTCAGGAAGCCTCAGGGACTTCAGACTGGGACAACCCCACCTGTTTTGTGATCTGACATATACGCACACTCCAGGTAGCCCTAGCAGCTATCTGCTCTAAAGCTTTCCAGAGCCCTGCACATCTAACCTGTCCTCAGCCCCTGTGGATTCAGCAAGACAGTCCTGGCTGCTCCCAGGTGTGTGGTTGAGGACCACCGGTGGGAAGAGCCCCATGGGAAGATCTGCCCCTTGGGGACTTATCTCTTGAGCTCTGTGTTCCTATATCTGTGCCTATCCTTGCCAAGCACTCAACTAGAAGCTGCACCCACCAAAGGCACTGTGAAGATCATTGCCCCCACTCCCAGCTCTCTGTTACTACGTCTCATGGCTGCAAAGCTCTGCCTGCCTGGCTGGCTCCCACCCAGAGCACCATCCCCAGTAACTGGTGAAAGAGATCTTTCACGCCCCTGGCGCCTGTGGCTTTCCCTAGGCCATCCAAAACCAACAGGCCAGGCCATCTCCTCAGCAGAATACTCAAAGGGCCCCTTCATCCTCAGCCATCTGCAGGGCCTGTATAGCCTGCCATGGGCCTCCAGGGTCCTCATGCTAGCCCCATCTCACTCCAAAGTCCATGAAGTTCTAGTCTTGGGGTGTCTTAGGCTGGCTGGATTGGAGTATGCCTCTGGCTGGTGTCTTTCCTCCGCCAGAGAAACAGAACTACTAGACTAGGTGGAATTTGAGGGGGCTAAAATGCAGGGACGTATCCAGGGCCACCATGGTCCTTGGAGTAAGCTTGGTCCCCAGCCTACCTTGGTGGTGCAGAACATCCAGCCACAGTCAGATGGAGCCCTGAAAGTAGTGTCTGGTCAGGCTCATGGACTCTCTCTCTCTCTATCTCTCTCCCTCCCTCCCTCCCTCCCTCCCCTGCCATGACACCCCTAGAGGTCTTGGCTCCAACTCAGCCTTTCAGGGTTATCAGGACTGTGCCCTTAGCAGAAAATAGCAGGAATGACTCACAGTCCCTAGTCATGGTGGGGGCTGTGTCCACTGAGAGCAGGAGTCATGCCCACTCAGAGTCCAGCCTTATCCCTGCTCTGACCCAAGGGAAGAGATGAGAACCTTGGACCCAAACATAGGAAACAACAACTCCTAGGGGCCATTCACAGATGTGGCCAAGGAGCTGGGACAGCTTCACCCATCGGCTGGTGCAGTTTGGCCTCTGGCATCACCAGAAGCCTGTCCCCACAAGCCTCTAGCTCCCTCACTGGCCTGCCTCTTGCTGTTCACACTAATGACCAAGGGTGAGGCAATGCTAAGAGCCAGTGATAAGATGGGGTAGATGCTTTGGATCCTGCTGGCAGGCTGAGGGGAGAGCAGGGGTTGGTAAGGGTGAGAGGCCAGGGCTGCTAGCCTAAAGGATACCAGCTTACATCAGTCTGAGTGCTCAGCAGGCCTGACAACATTTACTCCCCCCTAGATATCTTTGCCCAGTGGTGATGGTGGTGGCATAGACAGGAATCCGTGTGAAGACCAGGGTTCCTTCTGCCAACTCACCCAACCCTCTCCAGCTTGCAGCTCCAGCTGATTGTGAACAGCTGGAGCTGGTTTAAGGTCCTCATCATGGCATCCCTGAAGGCCCTGTGCAGAAAAGGGCAAGACTAGGGCTTCTCTGAGACTGCCATAGTATTGTTCCAGGGTTTTGGGGCTTCCAGAGAAATATGAATTCCCAGGTCTGGATCTTAGCTGCCTCTGTGAGATGGATACCAGTGGCAGCTGGGCAGTGGCTGGGAGGTTCCTTTGTAGCAGGCAGGACAGTAGCATCCAGTTACAGGGATGTTCAGGGCCCAAGTCCCTCTCCCCAGTGCCAGAGCTGTTCTGAAGAGCAGGGGCTCCCCTATGCATCCTCATGTGGGGCCAGCAAAGATCACCCTCAAGGAGCAAGTGAATGGCTCAGAAAGAAATGATGGGTCACACAGGCCTGGTGGCCCAGGTAGGAGCCTATTGCTCATGTACTTTGTCTGTGAGAGTCTATCTAGGCAAGGGCTCAAGAGGAAAGTGCCCAGGCCCTGTAAGTCAGCCCACAGAGGGTGACTCAGTGAGGACAGGATGATGAATCTCAGGGCAGAAATGACTGGCTCAGATGTGACTCCTGGCATCTCCTTGACAATGGGAGAATTGACTTGATATTGTGACCCCTGCAGAAGAAATCCTACAGTGTTACTGGGATCTATCTGTACCTTTCTTTGACTCCTACCACCTGGAACCCAGGAAGTTTATGCTTTCCACCTGTGGAGGTGGAAACCTGTGCTGTAGGTGAAGACCAGGGCACCAGGAAGAGGGAGCTTGGCACCCTTGCTACCCTAGGGATCTGCCCCCTGCTGTGAGGCTCAAGATCCTTCTCTGATGGTGAGGGGGGACAAGCATTCTTAAGAAGCTGCCTAGGATAACCAGGATAGCAGGGAGGGCTCAGTAATGCCAGAACTTCAGTGTCAATGTCCAGGAAAAGATAAGCTGAGCATGGGCCATGATGGTAAGTGTCTACCTAAACCTTGAGGGAGTATCAGTCTAGCCCACCTGGCAATATGGCACAAGAATGCAAAAGAAAGACAAAGAGAAAAGATTCTGCAGTTGAGGAGCTCTGGGATGACCCAATGTTCTCAGTGGAACAAAAGGCCTCCTCTCTAAAAGCTCATGGTTTGGGGCTGGGGATTTAGCTCAGTGGCCTAAGCGCCTGCCTTGCAAGCAGGCAGTCGTGAGTTTGATCCTGGTACCGATTAAAAAAAAAGCTGATAGTTTTTATTGGTATCCATCAGGGAGATGGGTGGGAGTCTCCATAGAGTGCATAAGGAAGAAAAACTTTGTAGCCATACCAGGCGCAAAGACCTCCAATTAGCAATGCACAGGTAGTTTTGGTATATGTAAGGCTGATACCTGTACTGCCAGGAACATGTGTTTCAATATAGCCAGCTCTATATCTCAGTAGATAGGGTAAGGGAGAGGTCAGGGACAGGTTGTGGTAAGGGCTTTGTTATTCAGGAGAGAGCAGCATGGTGGTCTCCCAAAAGTGCCCACTTCCACTGAGCTTTCTGAGCAAGGTTGCCAGTTCAGGTAGATGATAGACTCTGTGGCCGGAGGCACCAGAGTGGGTCTTGGACCGTTCACTTGCTACTTAAGAGTGACCATGTTCCCTTGTTTTGAGTTTCCATAGATAGGGAAACTGGGAAGAAAGATGAGGGCCACACTGGTGTACAAGGCAACCTATGTCTAGGCTCAGCTGGACAATACTGTTGGCAGGTGTCTCTTGATGGGTATAGTGGCAAAGGGAGGGTGACATACAGCAGTCAGGAGCAGCCCCCTTTCCCCCTCATCCTAATGAGGACACTGAGCGTTGGTGGCTGCCATGGTGACCACTGCATCTTCTGTTCTTGAGCTTTCTGTTCAAGGAGACAAGAATATGAGCCAGTATGGGCAGATATCCCAGGGTGGACATCAACCCTTGGCCCACTGTGGGGAGACCTGAATCATCCCCGAGCTCTCTCACTGTTCCTAGTGGCTGAGAGCATTCTTGGACCTAGCTATCTCTAATCTCTGCAGTAGATAGGGGCAGAGAGAGGATTCTGGGTATGTAGCAGCTGCCTCTACCCAGATGGCCACAGCAGTAAGGGGTTGAGCAGTCTGAGAGTCAAGGGGTCATTCCATAAGGGCAGGTGGCTCTTAGTGGTCCAGCATCTGGCTCAGGGTCTGTTTGGCAGGAGAATCTCATCACTATTATCTGCAGGACCAGGCCTCACAGACACAGATCACCTGTCCTCCTGTGTTGGAGCCCAGAGATATTCTGCCACCATCAGGCAGGGCCTCCAGTTCACCTGCTGCTGTGGGAGGACAGCAGACCCAGAGACCCTCTACATCTTGCCTTCTCCAGTTGTGAAATGCATGTCTGGTAAAGGCCCATGGCAGTTACCAGGTACCTACAGCAGTTAAAATAGCCATGTGCTTAGACTTACACCAAGCATGATGCCTCCCCCATCCATGCCACCCATCCAGCATCAAAGATAATGCACCTTGCCCAGGCCCAGGATCTGAGTGTACCCCCACCCCCACCAATCAGCCTGCCACCCTCAAGGGCCCTCAGTGCTGATGAGCACCATGTGCGCCAGAAGGCAATAATGGGAACTGAGAGGCAGAGTCATTATCGTCCAGCCTGTTCTCTCAGGCTTCCCTAAGAGAGCCCTTGTGCAACCTCCTGCAGCCAGTAGTGTGCGCAAGAACCTCAGGGTGGGGGAGGGGGTCCCTCCTCGAAGCTTTTGCCACTGCCCCCTCACCATGGCCAGAAAGGACAGAGAACAGGGATGGCATTCAGCATTACCAGCCCTCTCGAGACAGGCAGTGAGGCTCTGGACATCCACACCTCCCCCTTAGCATGAGTCAGTCTGATGTGCCTGGAAGTGGAGCCCCCAGCTGCATGTCTTGATGGATGTCCACCCTGAACATCAGACAGATTACAGGGAATGACCAAAGGCAGTTGTGTCTCTGGGCATGCCTTGTGGCCCAAGAGCTTTGAGGAGCTGTGTGAACATGTGGTTAACTGCCCACGGCCTACAGGATGTTGTGGCAGCTATGTGTCCTGCAGCCTCTGCTACTGATGTCCCACTACAGGGCACAGAGGGCCAGACCATGTGATGCACAGGTCCCAAATCCTCTGCCAGCTCTGGGCCCTAGATTGTCTCATTGCTGGGCCTCGTGGTGGCAGTACCCGGGGGCGAATTTTAATGGTATTTCAAGAATGGGAGCAGGCTCCGGCTGTCACTGTGGTGACCAACAGCTGTAACAAGCAGCATGGTTTCCTTGGGGACAGAGGTGACGTTTGCTCCAGAATAGTCTCACTGGAGGGTAGAAAGGAAGCCTCTCACACTAGCTACCACTGTAGAGGCTGGGGGTAGATTTCACAAGTCAGGGGTAGGTGCCATAGGTTGGGGGCCTGACAGCTATGGGAAGGAGCCCCTCTAGGAAGCAGGAGGCTGGGGCTTCCTGAGAAACTCACAGCCCAAGGAGCCCTGACAAGATATCACCATACTCATGCTCTCGGGGTATGTCCAGGTTCTCTTCTTGGGTCTCATCTAGGGACGCTGGGGAGACCTCCATGTGTCCTGGCCAATGTCCCCTGTGAGTCTGGGCCCTGGGAAGGAAGATGGAACTGGACTAAGAGTGGGCACTGAGGTGTGACCTGAAGGGTCTCTCTAAGTGGAGTCTACCAGTAGTGGAAGGACATTGGATGGACTAAGAGGCCACCCTGAGGACACAAGAGCTGAGGCTGGAACTGGGTGTGCAGGCAAAAGGGACAATGTGATGACCCCTACTGATGCCCAAGACCCTGAGATCACTGGTGATGGTCAAAGGAGCCAGCCTGGTTGGGAGGTAAGCTGGGCAGTCCTGCCTCGGGTTACGTGTCAGCAACCACAGTCAGGCTGGGCTGACGGGAGCTCCAGTCCTCATCTGTGCTTCTCATGTCCTCTGAGGCCTGGGGACTCTTGGTCTTCAGTTATGGCTCCTCATCTCCCTGGGTGGGCCAGTGGGGTCTGCGGCTGCATAGGGGACTGAGACACCAGCATGGGTGGACAGTGACTACAGCCTCCACCTGGATCACACACTCAGAAAGCTAATGTGCTTTTTATTTGGAGTAAAACAGTGCAGCAGTCCCTAGTCACTGGTAGCCAGCCAACTGGAGGGCAGTGGGGTATCGGGTGCGGTGGGCCATGCACTTCTGGCGATCAATGAACAGGCTGTTGGTCTTGACAGCAATGTCCTTCTCCAGGCACATGCGAGTGTCCTCCAGGTTGTGCAGAGCCTGCTGGGCTTCCTGAAGCTTCTCTCGTAGCAGGGTAAGGGA